ATAAAAGGAGTGGCAACACAAAAGGAACTGATGTTTTGACAAAGAGACGAGAGCCGAGCAAAGGAAGAATCTGGCCTAAAAGGTAAAGCAAGCACTGAATACAGCTGTAAACATATCCGTCAACTGTTTATTTCTTGAAAATGCAGAGCAATATGCTTTGTTTAGTTAAGCATTAGTTAAATGTGTTAAACAGTCAAATAAAAGTTCACTGTATTTACACTGCATGCATACGATTAGTTAGAAATAGTGAACAAAGTGGGCTTTTAAATGACTTTAATAAACCTCATTTTCTGTTTTTAGCCTAAATCAACTCCTAAAATAAATTTTACTAAAACATCACCTTGTTCCATCTTGACTTCTTTTCTTGAACATTTTCACATAGCCAAACTCACATAATCTATCATTACTCTTCTTCGCTTCTTGTATTTGAAATGACAGTGGAATAAAGTAGGAATGCTACAATAAGGGAGTAACAAGTCAGGCTTTTACAGGAAAAACAAATACTTATACTGTAAGTACTGCATAATTTCTTGTGTAAATGCTCTGTACTTTTTGAGATGTGGGCTGTATTATGAAGCAGATCAACCTTCCTTAACTTGCTGGTATTTTGCAGAAAATGAAACCCTTGTTTTGAAGGTTATGTTTGAACAGTGATTGTAAAAAACATCGAGTTAAATTAGACTTATTTTTTGGTAAGTTGGTATGGGAAAGGAGTCCTTATCACATGCATATCAATGTAATGAATATTAAATAAAGATGTAAAAAGGCAAAATTAATCCATTTTATAATATGGCCAATGCAATATTGAAAATACAACATATTTTTAGAGTAAGATAGGAAAATATTGTTTGTTTTTTGGCAAAATTACCATGAAATTAGAGAATACTTCAAATTACTTATGCATGACTTAAGTTTACTTACAGTATTATTATTTCCTTGTTCCTGTAAAAACATAAACCCTTTATTCTAGTCTGCCTGCGTTTAAGTATTTAAGTGCAATTACATTATAATTTTAAATGTAACACATTGGAATTTCATTTAATTACAGGGGAATTCCCCCCTTAGTTACGAGCCGTATTATAAAGTGCTATCCATAAAACCCCTAATTATCAGCCTTGTTTATTAACATGGGCTTCCTGCTTCAGTCTCTGTGCATGCTGATGTAAAACGGGGTGTTTGAGTAAGAAAAATGATCACGGCAAAACACAACACAGGTCCTGAGAGAAAGGCAGAAGACCAGTGCTTCAGAAACCAGTTAATCTTAGTATGAGATGTGTTTTAAGTAGTCCAGAGTGTACTGTTGTAGTTGTTGTTTCATCCCCAAAGTGTCAGCTTTTTTTTCTGCATTTATTTTAGCAATTTATTGGCTTCTTTAGGTTCTATTACTTAAATACAGCTTTATCAAACTGCGTCTGAAAATTATCTTACCACAGCTCAGAATCTGTATCATAAGGATACCTCAATAAGACAGAGTGTGAACTTCCTGCTAGAGAAGTTTTCTTCACTAAGTTTAAGGACGGACCTAATCTGAACACAGAATGTAAACAAACAAAGATGCTGGTATTCTGCTTAACTCTTACTCTGATCTCTGTTCTTCTTCTCCACTTGTGGTTTTTCACTCACAGCTCAGAACCTCGTGTTTCTTCTGATTTGAAGGCACCATGAACAACACAGCAAACCTGACCTCTCATCAAGATTTGTGGCACAATGTGACGGTTGGAAACACCACCTCATTTTACCGTCCTGCTGTGAACTCTGCTCTAAATAATGCCATTTCAGTAGTGATTATAATCATAATGATCATCACCATGGTTTCACTTGGATGCACCATGGAGGTGTCTAAGATCAAGGTGACCAAGATCAGCAGTGAATGCGAATGTATATGTGGTTTGTGTATATGCAAAAAAGCATTGTGACAAAGCTTGAAAAATTACAGGTAAGCAGGATTTTCGAGGATGTCCTTATGCCTGACAACACATTTCAGTTCCTGCAAGGAATTGCTGGCCATGTTTAGATAAAAAGGATAAAATAAGCAAATATGGTTAATGTGAAATTCTCACCACACGTCGGCAGCAAACCATGCAATCCATTCATGAGAAATGACACAGGGATAAAAGTTGTAAACACATAAACATGAAGAAAAGGAGGTGCTAAAAGCTGTGGAAAGTCATGACGCCAGCTGAAATCAGTAAATAGAAAGCAATCCTGCCGCTTAATGCAAACTAATTTCCGCAGTTTCAGTCCCAACTGAGCCTATAAAAAGGTGTCTCATTACCAAGGTGTCACACAAGAAACATCTGATAAAGGGTAAAACCAACAAGATTTCTCAAGACCTGTTTTGAGTGTCAGCCTTATTGTTGCAAAACATAGTGATGGCATTAGTTACAGATAAATGTCTAAACTAGTGAAGGTTCCAGTGTAGCACTGTTGGGGCCATAATTTGGAAGTGGAAAGAACATAATTTCACCATAAAATGGACATGACCAGATGCTACCAGACAGATAAGAGAAAATAAACATCTGAAGAGTTCAAGTCCAAGAGTCAAGGACAGAAAGACCTGGAATCAGCAGGTACAATTGTTTCAAAGAAAACAATAAGTAATGCATTAAACCGCCATAGTCTGTAAGCATGCTCATGAAGCAAGACTCCATTGCTGAAGAGAAAGCACTTTGAAACATGTTCAAAGTTTGCTGAACAAAATTTAGACACATCTGTGAAATACCGGGGGAATATAATTTGGTCAGACCAAAACAGAACTCTTTGGATGCCGTAATGCACACCATGTTTGGAGGTCAAAAGGCACTGCACATTACCCTAAAATCACCATACAGTATACCGACAGTGAAGTTTGAAGGTGGGAACATCATGAAGTGGGGGTATTTTTCAGCATATGGCATTGGCATGCTTCATATAATTGAAGGAAGGATGAATGGAAAAATTTACCGGGACATTCTTAATGAAAATCTGCTGTCATCTACCAGGATGATGATGATAAAACAAGGGTGGACGTCCCAAACACAGATCCAAGGAAACTCTGTTAGTTATGGATATGCCTGGTTTAAATTTCTTTGCATGTGTGGATTGGATGGGTTGTTAGTGACATCTGCCTTTGAAATGATGTCAGTACCACCTTTAGAAATATATTCACTTAGCAAATTGGTAAAGTGTTGAATACTTATTCAATACTGCCCTTGAAATGGCAAGGTGTCACCTGAGTGAGCCGGAATAGGTGGCAAGAGTGAGGCAAGACTATGCTTCTCTGCTCCGACTGCTGCCCCATGACCTGAACCTGGATAAGCATCAGGAAATGGAAGGAAGGAAGGATTGATTATTTTTACTCAAACTGGAATA